TCAATTAAAAAGAATACTATCTTTCAAGAGTACCATAAAGTAAAAGTAATTGAAAAGAAGCCTATTGTCCATTGTCTGCGAACAGATGAGTTGGCATGATAGTGGAAATCTTACTATAAATACAACATATGATTTGCTTCGGCAAATGAAATCTAATGATTAAACATAAAGATCAGAGAATAGGAACAAGCACAAACAATACTTGATCTACATCTCGACAAGCCCCAATAAACCATGAATTGGAGAAAAAAGAATTTCCTAACAAAAGCTATGAAATCTGCAAAGCCATCCGTTAAAAAATTAAATACCAAAAAGCATCTGGCCAGTAAAAACAAGCCTTCTGAAACCTTGTAATATATTATGAACCGTCATATTTTATAACAAAAATAAAAGGTACAAGAATGAGATTTAGATTGAAAATCCTGGAATTACAGAAAATTAGAAGAAAAGAATATCAAGTTTTTGAGTGGCCTTATCACTCCCTAAAGCTAAACAAACCAAGGCTACCAAGCTATAAATGCAATATTCTAAATGCCTCTTGTTTCCTTACTCTCCCTTATTTATAGCATTTTCGATTCTCATTCACCTCTAACTACCTTCCTCCTCAACTCCTCAAGATAGAGAAGATATTAGTATATTACTAACAAAATAATATTGGAGTATTGAACTAAACTATAATGCCACTCCCCTTAAGCCAGTTCATAATATAAATACCGATATACAATACCATGAACATTAATACATAAACTAATGCCTCAATAATAGAAGTTCACTTCATCACCATTTCCAGCTAAAAAGCTGGACAACAGCTCTGATTAATTCCCAATCAGCTTCAATGCCACTCCCCTTAAACCAGTTCATAACATAATCATTAAAATATATCAATTTCATAAACCTTTCCCAAGCTTCAATGCGCGACAAATCCATTAGAGTCCAATCACAGAAAAGGAACCATACAACTAAAGGAACCAGAACCTTGTTACATAGTAACAAATTGCCAACATGACGAAGGAAAAAGGAGAAAGCAGAATTTCTCCCTCCAACCAAGTAATCCAGATACTGGCTTTTCCATTGCATCAGTTTACCACAAACAGAATATAAAACATGACTAGTCTATAATCCTCTTTCTGATGTATACAACATCCAGCACTACCATTAGTACCATATCCAAACAGAACAAGGCTCAAAGAGAGTTGTTGTGAGCAGATTGTGTCGCCTGATCCTTGTGTCTCAATTGCCTAAAACAGAGAATATATATATCCAGTAAATAGTCAAAATACAATCAAATACCCTATCAAAATTTTAAACCATCAACATGGCTCAATTACCTAAAACAGAGAATATATATATATATATCCAGTAAATACAAGCAAATACAGTATCAAAAATTTAAACCTAGGTCACAGCCAGTGGAAACTCTGCAATCATGAAGTAACTGTTGATGGAGTCTACATGGCAATGAAAGTGATTTTGAACTTACATATTGCTGCAGAGCAATGCTCTACACTGCAATTGACGCTGCTACAAAACCTTTCATATTTACACTCACGTCAGTAACAGTACAGACACCAACACCTATCAGCACAAGCCCAATGCTGAGCTTGGTGTCTCTGGAATATTGCATGCTATCAAACACGATCTCAAAAAGGCACAGTACAGGAATCATGCTCAGCTTTGCTATCTGAGAATTAAAAGCTTAAGTTTACTGTAGTATCAGTACTGAAAACAGAAGATATAACCAAACTGATCTCTCACCTGATAAAAACCTACTGAGTTCCACATAAGACTAACATTCATGCCAACAATTGTAAAGTTAGCAAATAAGACAAATTTCAACAGCTCCAACAGAGGTAAATGAGAAGGTTGTATAAATCCAAGCCAGCGAAGAACAATCGTCATCAAAGTAGTGGCGACAAAATGCAACCCAGTCAAGGTCGTTGCTGCAAAATGTTGTTAATAAAGTCATTAAAATGTAAGGAAAATGATGAATGTGAAACTGCATATAACATATATGCAAAATCATAAATATATATGTAGCTAACATGAACCTTGAACCATTGAATCTATCAGAACTTAAGAGGTTGAGAGGTAAAGGAGAACAAGCACCAGAAGCTGCATATTCTCTCACTCAACTAAGTAAGCATGGAAGAGCATATACAATCACAATAAATCAATGGCCTATTACAGAAAAGTGAAATGGGTTTGAAAAAAAGGAGATGTAATGAAACGCTTGGGTAATACACTCCACAAACAAATCTTTCCAAACGCTCCAACAGTGCCTTCTCAAACATTACAGAGACTAATCATCATTAAAAAATATCTTCATGAAACCACATTCATACAGGCAGTGCTCCTTTTAATATGTTGTACTTCTACCATAACTGATAGCTCAACCATGACAAGTCTCTGAAGTTTGAACACATCCATATTGATCACCCTACCAAACGTTTCGTCTTTCTATCTAAAATATTCATCTGCTCATTGATATGCATGTACAATAGTGTTCATTTATGAGAAAACATGTGTATGAGAAGTCACAAACAGAACACCTGCCAAACAATTCGATATTGAGAACAGCAAATAATCTCAGACTAGAATTCAATTGATGGTCAACATGCATTTTTTACATGTGTTGAGCACGTACAAATGTCATACTAATAATTTTGTTCATATCTAAGCAGTTGGTTATTAAAAATATGATATCATAAAGCAGCAGGACTTTTACTAACTGTCTTGATAAATCCCTTTATTCGATTGTAATATGAACATATCCCAACATCAATATTATACAGTTTGCAGTCGCATAAACACAAGTCATGATATTGCTAAAGCAAACTTCAGAAATTTATGAAGCTAATTCACTTTATCTTTATTACAATGATATTCTTTCATTGCAAGACAGCAACCTCATTTTACCATAAGAGGGATATATAAAGGAACTAACCAAAGCTAAAGCCATATGTAGCCATCAACGCCTTGTTAACAACAATAACTCCTACCGAAGTGACAACATTGAACATCCAAGCAGCCGCGTCAACTGCAGCTTTCGTATCTGCCTTGCTAGCTGGAGCCATCTCTCTAAATTCAAATATCAAGTTGTAAAATCCTCAGCCCACAGCTTTGTTATAAAATTGGCAAAATTCCATGTGCCAGAACAAGCCTTTTCATATAACACTATTCTGCAAAAATAGGGTGTAACACTATAAGATTACCGTGAAAATTCCGGAAAATCATACTACATTAATCATGCGTTACTGATAATTAGCAAAGTAACACTTATGGGATCAAAATGCAATAATATATCTTCAATTCTTCATAACAATTATATGATACACGATCAAATAACCGACAAGTAATAGTGCATTGATATTTTAAACGATATGTAACAAAGAATTAAACTTGAACCTGTGATTCACGGAGTTTAACGTTTGCACTAAAAATTAGGAAATTTTCATCATCATAAAGGTCCAAGAACCCTATCACCCTAAATTTCCCCCAAATTAAACAAAAAGCGACATTCTACTTCATCTTTTCTCAGGAAAACCCTAGTAGAAATTAATCAATTTCAACATTGAGGATCGATAGAATTTCCAGAATTTCAAAGCCTTACAAATCAAATTAAAATTAATTCAACAGAAATACATTTAGAAAATCAAAGGAAAAGTAGAGGAGAGAGAAAATGACCTCAAGCACAGGCTCAATCGCAATGGTGTTAACCATTGAAGAGGAACAAAAAATGGAAGTTTTTCGAATGAGAGAGGGAGAGTGTTGGAGAGAAGAGGGTATTGTCAGTTACGACTTACGAGTATCACTAGAACTGATAAATGTTATTTTAATTAATTAATTAATAATTTTAGTGAAACGCTAAATGACGTTCTTATGGCTTATTTTACCGGGTAACGCCCACATTTTAAAATGAATGGACGAATTTACCCTTTTCATGTACTCCCCTCTAACTCGAGAACATTCGCTCTCCTCCTAACAAATTAATCCACCACCAATTAAGGGACATTCATCGGAGAAAATGTGGTGATATTTTTTTTGTATGTAACAAAGCCGTAAACATTTTATTTTAAAACCAAGGTTGAAAACAAAAAAATTCGTAAACCCGCATGGTTATACGAAATTTTTGGGCTGTTTTACCATGATATTCTTTATAAACGCCTAAAAATTTCATATAACCGAGCGGTGTTATGAAAAAATTGGCGTTTTGCCATGATAGTCCAAAAAAACAAACCCAAACGCCTAAACATTTAGAACTACCAGGGTACCGCCCAAAATTTTCGTAAACCCACACGGTTATACGAAATTTTTGGGCGTTTTCACATATAACTGTGCGAGTTTATGATTTTTTTTTCGGCGTTCACCCGTGATTTTCAAAAAAAGTAAGTACCTTTGCCTTTCAAGAAAAAAAAATTAAATTATTATGGTGGTTTGTGTAATGGGATGGTGGTGGTTTGTATGTAAAAGGGAGGAGGAGGAGGAGGTGGTGGTGGTGATAGTACTTTAGAGAGAGAGGGTGGTAAAATAAGGGTATGTTTGTAAAATAACTTTTTTTTTTGCGGGCGTTAACTGGAGAATTGAGAGCGCCGTTTAATAACCACATTTCACAAACATATTGCTAATCTACTTCAATCCTTCATTAGGTGAACTCAAAACCCACCTCATGTCTTCGAGCCATATTAACCGTGTTGGACTTAGGTTTGTCAACTCTAACACTCTCATATGAATAACAATATGTTTGTAAGATCCTCTCCAAAAAATTGTGAGATGGCGTTCGATGAATGTCAAGCTCTCGACTTATCGTTCCATGAGTCACTTCATAAGGTGCAAGACTGCATAAACGGCAACCCAGCAAAATGCCTTATTTTCATGTCAAAGTCTTAGATGATCAATATGAAAATAGGTTCAAGTTACAATTCAACCTCATATATGTGTGTACTTGGTATATTATACAGTATATAATTTGATCATATGTACAAGTAGAGACAACTTAAAAGAATTTGACAAATAATCGACTATGATTCTATGAAGCTTTTTGATTAATTCGTTCAAGACATATATCGATTCATTATTAACAATTTACTTGAGCCCGTGTCCTCCTAAGAATTTAGATCCTAGACAAGCCACAATCAATTGAAGTAAAGGCAATGAAGAGACAATTCTAGGAGCCAAGTTATAGTCCTGACATACATTGGTACAATGGAATTGTCCTAAAAAGATGATAACCGGATGATTTGCTCATCATAAAATCGACTCACATTTGGTCATCCATCTAAAACCAAGAGGAATCAATCCAAGTGCATATTATCTCTTTATTTCGTATCGTAGAGTGACTGCAACGAAGATGTTCCACTGGAAATCTTTGAACTATACTAAAGAATGCATAACCCGATACTGTGGATACATCAGTATACTAATTACTTGGTAGTCACCAATCTGTTATTCTTGATGTACTCTGTGCTCCACATTACATATAAAGCACTTGAGACATATGAATAAGGTAAGATTTAGAATCCGTCTGTTTGCTTCTCTATTCACATCTCAGTAATTTGCTCTTCTTCTTGAATCTCACTAGAGTATGTTTCTGAGCTTCCCCCTCCTAGGGTCAAATCTAAATGACCACCAGATTCAGACATCTGTGTAGCTCTCTGCAACTCATCAAGCCCCTCCACAGGCTGTGGTGCTTCGTCAGCCCTCAGATTAAAGTCCTTTGGAATTGATTTAGCCTGTCGAATGGCTGCAGCTGCTTCTGGCATTGATACAGATGGAGGTTGAGGTGGGACCCACCTGCGTTGAGCTGGACCAACATTTACAGCACCACTGGACCCCGAGCCTAACTGCTCACTCTCTATCTTTTTAAATTCAGCTATTCTATCTTTTTGCTTCCACCAGGTATCATACCAAGGCGTAGAATTGTCGTTGTTAGGAGGCAGACCACCTTCCCAAGGCTAATTAAACAATTAACAGTTAGATTTCAATCTAACTACAAAAACTCAAATGCATTGACATTTATTCACTCTGGGTCATATTCCTGAAATTCCTCACATAAGAAACATACAGAAGCAATTTATGCATCAACCGTCAAAGAAAAAAATATTTAAAGCATGTGATAATGTACGTTGCAGTCCTTTCACGGCTTTTATATGAGATGATTAGCAAAATTACTTGGAGATTGTCAAAAAGCAAAGTGATGAATATCAAAATTTAATACCTTAACTCTAGGAGCCAGATTTGGGTTTGATATAGGTTGATTAGGATTTGGGGGTCGATCATCAATTTCCTGAAGATTAAGCCAATAAATAAGACTAAAATCCAAATTAGTTGTTTAAAATGTAGTGATATGATATTCACTTACTCTGACATTAGGTGGTCTTTCCCCTCTCTGCACCATAGCCATGATCTGCAACAATAATCAAGAATTAGTAACCAGCAGTTGGTAAATGGAGAAAATAATAATTCTGTACGGAGTACAATGTACAACACACTATGCTGAGAAAATTTATGCATAAGAAGAAGAAGAAAAAAAACAAACCTCCCCATAGGATTTTGGATGAGGAGGCTCAGCTGATGCAGGTGGTGAAACCGACCTCACTGTAAGAAAGAAAATACACAGAGTAACTGAAATGCACATTGAAAGGGTTCAGCAATCAACAAGTGAAGCATAAAAATGGCCTCACCTGATCGCATGTCATATTCAGAATTCCTGTCCATTGGTTGCTGAATATGTAAAGAAGAAAACAAAGGGTTAATATGAAAACTGCAAGCTCATCCAACCCTAACATCAAAATTCTAGGCCAAGTGTCAACTCACCACTGAACGCGCTTTAGAGCCATCTTCTAGGTATCCTTCCCTGACATTGCTTCTCCCACCACTGTGTGATTGCCCTGAATATTGACAGGCCAAAGGCATATGAACATGAACAGCAATATGAGATAACATGGCAATAGAAGACCGCATCATAATCCTTAAACATCAATAGGTAGATATTCAAATTTATGTAGGATTGAAAGTAGTCAATGCAACAATAAATCCAAATAAAAAATGAGTAAATGCAACATAGTGAAGGTTGTAATTAAAAATCATCATCATAAAGGATATTTTGCACCAAGCAAAAGCATACACTCATTCTATTAAATGATCAGCAACTATTCAGTACAAAAATTATCACAAAATCTCCAAATTTTTTGGAAGGATGTCAAGGACAAAAGAAACAACTTAATCAAAGGAACATAGATGGCTAGAGTAGGTTAAAGATTTTTTTTTTTTTTTTTTTGGTTAAAAAACAAAAAAAAAAAAAGGAAAAAAGAAGTGAATGTAAAGATTTCAACTTATTGACACAAATTTATGCATGGAGACATTTTGTTCCACTATTAAATTCAGAATGTGATCAATGAATCAATGATCACCATAATCCTCGTCATTTGTTCAGAAGTAAGCAAACTATTCAAAACTAGAGATGATAATATCTTAATAATCTTGAATCAAGAGATACCAATGGGAGATCAATGAAGTACAGAAATAAGTTGCTAACACAAAAGCAGTTGGTATGCCAAATTGTCAATCAAAATGTGTAGCGCACTATGTTTAAAATCTTAGTACACTCCAATTGACAAATGAAATCAACCTGAGAAGGATAAGAGAAAGCTATTTAGACATTGAGTGGTTCTAAGCTTCTAATGAAGTAATGACAGAAGCCATCGAACAAAAAGAGTGCTCAAAGTTATAAAACATTTGCAAAAAATGCTCCTACACGCCTGTCTGGCTAAACATTTACAGAGAAATTAAGTGGAGTTAGAACCTTAACATAAATTATTTTTTACTTATCATCTTCTCATTCTACCTTTTAACTCATGAAAAAAAGATAATGTCTTTGCAATTCCCATTGAATACATGATAATTATGAGAAGAAGTTAAAGACAGTATTCTCATGCTAACAATTTAAATAACGTGTTTGCACGTACATAGAAGAAGCAATTCACAACCGAATATGAACACATATTAAACTCTAGCAGATCCATAGGTCACCTTCTAATCCTGTCATTTCACTTATCATTGATCTGAAATCCGCAAAGTGTTTCTTTTCTGAAATTAGTAAAAGATATACAATTGGAAGAGGTAAAATCAAAAGAATGGAAAATTATACGAGGGATAAAACTTTAAGTAACAAACCTTCATTCTTTGAGATCACCATTTCTTGACTGGTCTTTGCAACATCAGCCGCTGCAGCAGCAGCTGCTTTTGCAGCTGCCGCAGCTTCTTTTGCAGCTGCCGCAGCTTCTTTTGCAGCTGCCGCAGCTTCTTCAGCCAAACTCGGTTTTTTATCTGTTTCCTCTTCATTGGTATCATCATCCATAACAACCCCACGAATCCAAGACTTCAGCTTAGGAATGACAGAATTCTGTAGATGAGAAACATCTCACATTATTAACAACATATTGAAAGGCTAATTCAATAAGAAGAAAAAAAATAACAATTTTGTAAATAAATAAAATTCTACAACCAAATAAACTTGCACAAAGAAGAAAAAGGAAATGGGAAATGTAGCGGATAGAGAATTAAGACACTTGAAAATTTTAAGAAATGCTACAGTAATCATACTTTAAATACTATAGCTGTTCCAGCACCAGATATGGCCAGAAATCCTATAGCAAGCACCGCATGCGACCAGTGGAATCTTCTAGCCATTGTTGACATGACACCAGATTGAACTGGAGCCACCGGCTGCACAGCTTGCATAGGGACTTGAGCTTGAATATTCGTTGCAGGAGTTGGCTGTGCAACTGTAATGATAGAAAAAACATGTAATTCACAAGGTTAGACATGTCCAAACAACCTCTTAGATTTATACATATTATAGCTGCTTCAAGGTTGTTAAACTCATATATACCAATGTATATTACCTTGATTTGTGCTACTTTGACCACTGGCAACAGCAGGAGATGGGTCCTGTATTTTTTACAGAATGTCAAGCTGCATGACAAGCAATAAAGGGCCACGAAGAAAGACAAACAAGACAAGACGTGCACACAGACACAATGACTATTAAGTTTTCTAACACATCTTGAACTTTCCTTTTACCCTTTCCCTATAAGATTTCAGTTCAAACTACAAAGTGAGTTACTTACAGGTACACGGCGGAATGCTTCATCGATTTCCTCTTTTGTGAGACCTTTCTTCTCGAGAAAATTTCTCCGGTGAATCACAGGAGATCCTTTAACTCTTGGGTGAGAGAGGAAATTGATAGCATTCTGAACCTGATCCTCTCGTATAGGTTGAGAATTTACAAATACAGTTTTTGATGAATTTTCTGCAGGAAGCTCTGATGTTGCTGGGGGTTTATTCTCGACTGCTTGTGCAGGTTCCGGAGCTGTAAATGTGAACAGAAGGAATATGAATAATATGCAACTGTAGTACATGTACAACATCCACACATCAAACTGAATAAAAGCCCTGAAAATCGGTCAGAAAAACTGAAGAGGTCCCTATGATGCTATGCCTGTTCCATTGGGCAGGATAATTGATCGGATGTCAAAACACTGATATTCACATAAATAACATGTAATTCCAAATCAACATTCTTTGAGCTTTTGAAGTGCACAAGATCATAAAAGTACAGTATTAATTCAGACAGTAGTTTAGTCCAAGATGCACAAAATTTTCAACATCCCCAAGCAGCTAATGCAGAAGATATGCACATCCACCTTCTTTTGTTAGAACAAATTAAGAAATTGTTTTTCATTCACGTTGAATATAACAGCGGAACTACAGGTTATGCCATGCATCATCCAGAAATCTGATATCTAACTGAGAAAATTAAAAGAAATGCTAATTTTCTGCTGAAACTGAAAATTTTACAACATGAATCTTATCAGGCTCTACTAAATGATGATTACAGTTTCCGATTACTTCGTCGATATCATATATCTGGTCTAGCATGCTTCACATTCACTTGACACAATCTTGAGATAATTTAGATAGTTTTGAATGTCCAATGTTCATTAGTGGCATAATAACTACGGAATACATCAAATACAATAAACAAACCTATTACAATACCGTCATTAACTAACCCCACCATTTATTAACACCCACCAAATGAATTGTTCAAGATTACAATTACTGTAAAAGATTAATTTCAGCTCAATATCAACAACTTACAATCCTCCAAATTCAACAATAAAACTTCCCCAAAATCCCAGAAATTGGAGCATGCAATCTTGAATAATGAGTACTTAATCTTATTGCAAATGAGCAGAACAAGCAGTTTGCAAACGATTCGGATAATTATTCTACTCAATCAAATTAAAATCTAAGTGGGTAAATTTCAAATTGACAAACAAATAATCAAGAACAAGTAAGAAAGATAGAGAAAGACCTGAATTAGGGGGGTTGTTGTCGGAGGGATTTGATGGGGGTGATTCGCTCGCCATTGCACACCAACCCTCAAATCATGAAATCAAACTGTAACAAAATTCCCAAGTGTTAATTGAAATTAAACACGAAAATCTTGAATAATGAAATTATCTGTGAAAGCTATAGTTTGGGAGGAGAGAGAAAGAGAGAGCTTACTGGGAGAAAGTCGAGAAAGAAAGAAGACGAATGACGAAGGAATGAAATGAAAAGAGTTGAGAAAATGAAGGTGGTCTTCGAGTGTAATGAGGTGTGAAGTTTCAGTATTCAATCAGTAGACGCCAAAATTCAATCCCTCCTACAGTCATACTTCTATTTTATATATTTATCTCTTTTTTTTTTTTTCTTTTTTTTTTTTTTTTTTTTTTTTTTGAGATGGGAGAGCAAAGGTCAGTTGATGTCTCTTCAAGACTCGGAGATATCAATAATGGTGTTTTTAGACCAACATTATACCAAACGCATGTTTTAAAATGAAGCCATTTAACTTCAACAAAAATATTAGATTCATGATTCATAGGTACTTCCAACTACACATAAAAACATGAGTATATCGTATTCATGTTAATGTGAATTTCGCATACACTTAAAATTATGACGTGTAACTCTTCCATCGATTATTTGGAGTTGAGTACTTGTGTATCGTAAGGACTAGGGAGGAGATGATGTAAGGAAATAGTATTGCAAACTTACACAAGTCAATGCCGGAATCCTCCAATTCCAAAGCACAAGTAAATGATCAGGTTCGAACTCTAAGTCACAAAAAAAGTTCCCCTATATCTCCACCAACTTTGTTAACTAGTAATAGTATGTAATAGTATTAGGTTGTGTTTAGTTAGGCTAATCATATGGACGTTTTTTTTCAAAGCATTGAGCTAGATTTACACATGTTTGTAAGCTAAAGGCCTTTCTTTCGAAGGCAAAGTGGCTTTGCCATAGAACAAAAGTACCTTTTCCACAAATCACAGCTCTGTCGCATGAGTAAACAATGTAATGACGGAGTTACTCACACAAAGCAGCTATCCAAGATACAACAAATTCTCCAGAGTTCACAGTAGTAGTACGAGTAAGATATAAGAAGCCTTCATCAGCCTCAGTTACAATACATTGAGTTCGCTTGAATACAAGTTTGGTAAGATAAACTTTCAGTCAAGCTATTAGCTTAAACAAATCTGCAAGCTTATCATTCAATATTAAGATTTTTCCAGATATACCTCCACCTATAAATGGGGTCTGACAGCAACTGCAACGGCTGCCAGCTAACTTTTAATTTAGCTGCTCTGCCTCAGTTGCCATCTCTTATGAGTTACGACAATAACCTACTAAGATGTCCATGAGGCAACTTGAAAGAAAATTTCACTATATAATTTTAATTCCTATGAAACCCAATGAAAGATGAACACAACCTATTGAACCAGAGTATTCATTCTACAAAGATCACAAATAATGACACCCCACCTCTCCCCTCTCTACCAGAAGCAAAACCCGAGACTAAGCTTTACAGATGAAGCAAGAACCTGTTATCTTTCAAAAACAGAGGAGAATCAAACCTAACATAATTTTGTAAATAAAAGTAAGGATGACATGACAAATATTCCTAATCTTTATCAATACTGCAGATCATTGTACTCTCTGAAGCAGTTTATCTACAGTAATCTTTTGTTGTGCGGCACTTAGAGACTCTGATTTCATGATTGCATTACTAACCAAAATCACTGTTGATGGAGATTCAGCATTCACCTGGAATGGAAATTATATATTACACCACAGGATAACATCAACAACTACCAGTAAAAGAGAAACGAAAGATTCTGAATCCAAAAAAGAAGACGATAACATTTATGCAGCAAGATAGGTAAAAACTAAAATCATAAAGATCCAATACTACGAAAGGCAGTAGCCAGAAAGCCAAATGGAGCATGATGTTAAGAAAGAGAATCTTCCAAGAATAATACCCAAACTCGGCCATTTAAACCAACAGCAATCTCGAAAGACAGCTTCTTTCCAAGACCCTCAAGAATTGGACATGTGGGAGTACTCAAAAGCCTACATATACGAAGTAAAGAGCATATATAATTAATAAAGCTGAGCAAAATAATTTCAAACTTTAAGCTAGTTTAAGATAATATTTTATCTTTACTCGCATAGTATTCAGATAATAACATGTCATATGCCTATCTACTAATAGAAAGAAATTCTTTTATTTCATTATAAGTAATACTACGTAAATTTCAAGTTTTTGATTGCCAGCAAATTTAAGAATGCATTTTATACTTTCATATAGCAACGTTGTGATATTCCACTATTATTTTGACTTTTCAGCCAAATTCACCAAATCTTCAATAAGAATGGCAAATTACATTTTCTACATACTTATTGCTAAGGAAATTTTTAAAATGCAATAGAAAGGAAATATTACCAAATTATGAAACAACATAATTAATTGGGGAGGAGAAAGCTCTTACATTCGTGAAAGCCCAGTTGATGTTTCAAACATGTAACCTTCCTTAAGTGGGCCAAATTCTGCTGCTTTACCGTTTGCTATATATACACACAAAATAACAGAAATAGGTAAGTTCATCATATTGATTCAGCTGAATGCATGCAAACTTGAAATGACCAGAACCCACCATCTGTGCACGATAGCTCTGGGTTCATGCCAGCATTTGTCTTAACAACACGAGCATAAAGCAAGGTTCCAATCTGAAACAGAAAACAGAGACTGATCAAAACACAAGGGAAAGCAAAGGGAAGAATGTAAAGTATTTTTTTAATATCCAGATCAGAAGGAAGCTTCACAATCTAACAGCACACTCAGCATCTACATAGACTACATTATCATATAATTTGGTTATAATTCCACTTCTCAATGAAGAGAAGAAACACAAACTCCAAGGCAAAAACAATCTCCCGACAAATCAAAGATAACATTTGTTAAAATTGGAGAAGTCAAGAAAGTATCCTCAATTGATATACCAGATAAAATATATTTACGTCCATTTAAGTCACACTGTCCCAAAGCACTTTAGTTTTGAAGCCAAGAGGAACACCAAGGCGCAAATGTGAAGGCACTTATAGTGTGATAGACTAGCCTTAAGGGAAGGGTCGCTTGTGGTGATGCAAATTATTCATTTAGGTTAGCTTTGGAAAAGGGGGACAGAGAGTTTGTCAGATGGAAAAGAAATCAGAATATATAGAGGTGATTAGAGAGGGATAAAGTAGGCAGATAATAAAGAGAGCAATTCCATTTTGTATAATTTAGCTTTTGGTTTGAGAATGTTCAACAACTCATAGGACTCGGTTGTAAATTACCTACTGTAATCCACCATCATCATCTTTATCTGCCTGATTTACTCCTTATTCTAAAAATTTAGTGCTGAACTAACATACACCACCTACCTCCAGATATATTTAAGCTTTATTCACAGTAGCAGCACGTAATGAGTAAATACAAAAATATCAAAATATATATAGAATTAGAGACTGGGTTTCTGTTGGTCCACGTTGGTCTAGACCAGTTCTAACTTCTAAGCACCCTGAGGTACTTTAATGAATGAGAAATTATTTAAGCAGTTCTTAGAAAGCAATTTCTACAACTCCAAAAGGTATTCAGCCTTCATACCTCAAACCTTGGGATATTACGCCTAATTACTCCTTCAAAAGCCATCACAGGCAAAACTGCCAATGTGGGTCCCTTGATGTCCACAAGAAAGTTCTGCACATAACAGGAACAAAAGACAACACATTTAAGTCCATATAGATTTACCAGTCTATAAGGTTTAAGGGAAGAGCAATGTCGACGTTGTCGAAAATAAAAATTAGAATAAAAAAAATTTCTTCTCAGAAGAGGTATATCAGCCAAATAAGGGAATAATGCATAATATATACTCCCTCCGTCTCATAATACCTGACACAGTTACTATTTTCGTCCGTCCCAAAATACTTGACACGTTACTAAATATGGAATGGAACCACTAATAAAAAAAATATTTTCCTATACTCTTTTTGGGACCACAAACCCCAAAACCCAATTTAATTCTACATTTTCTCTCTCCTCACTACCCCCACCTCCCCCACTTTTTGTTTTCTTACAATATAAAAATACAAAAGATAATCTTTTATATAATAAACAAACGTTTTAAATGGACCCACTTGTAGTTTTCTTAAACTACGTGTCCACCCCAAGTATTATGAGACGGACGGAGTAATGATAAGACTACCTTAAGAAGCATTTTCTGCAACTGCTTAAAAAAAAATCAATTGCTTATAAGAAAAAAATTAATACCACCAGTTTACAATGTTCATTTTGTCTTTTTCAAAAAAGTTGCTGAATAAATAGCAAATCAATGCTAACAATGACACCCAAGGGAAAAAAGCATAATGTTATCCTCTTGTAGAAAATAAAACATTGATGATAAATATAGGGAAAATTGGCTTAAAATAATACTAACTATCGTCGGTGTGTGCAAAATAATATGAACTTTACTATTTGCTATTAGCAGTACCACCTTTTGTACTATATGTGCAAAATAGTACGTCGGTCACCGGAAAAGTATCGCAAGGAATATCCTATCTATATTTATTATTAATGTTTATTTTTTTTATTAATTTTCTGTTTTCTTTTAAAAATACATATTATGTTAACAATTTCCTTTACAGTACAATCCAGATTAATAATACCCCCCCTTTGTAAGGCTTTTTTTTTTTTTCTTTTGAATTATCAATATGTATTTAAATATTTTTTTTTTCTAGGGTATTAAAATCCATTATTATTTTGATATAATTAGTTTTAATTTTTTTTTAACAATCCAAAAATTTCCCCACATTATTTTGGTCGGTGAATTTGGAGATTGGGCTTTTGAAACTAATTATATCAATATAATAATGCATTTGAATACCCTATATACTATTGTGTGATAGTAGAAATTACTACAGGTATTTTGAAAAAAAAATTGTTTAAACACATATTGACAATTCGAAAAAAAAAAAGAAAAAAAAGCCTAACAAAGGGGAGGGGAATTGTTAACATAATATGTATTTTGAAAAGAAAACATAAAATTAATTAAAAACAAGTAAAATAACAATAAATATAGATAGCATATTCCTCGAAATACTTTTTCGGTGACCGGCGTACTATTTTGCACATATAGTACAAAAGGTGGTATCGCTAATAGCAAATAGTTGAGTTCGTATTATTTTGCACACACTGTTGATAGTTAGAATTATTTTAAGCCAATTTTCCTAAATATAGTTCCTTTAGTTTTGAAAAAAAAAAAAAAAAAAAAAAAAAAAAAACTTCAATTATTATTAGATATATAAAGTAGAAACATGAGATGTATTATGGTCAGGTCTCCATACTTGAATAAAGAATATTGCAAATTCAGCATATGATCCTCAAATCCTCATCAACAATCAGATTCTATCTGTATTTAGTTGTTAGATTGCTTGTTCATTTTATACTATCAATATTAAGGGCACAAGGAGTAACAATTTTCATTGAAGAATTTAGAAGTTTAAAATTCGACAATGCCAAAATCTACAGCACAAGGACATCATATAAACTGATAGCTAGTAACAAAAGAATGGGAAGAAGCAAACAAATATAAATGCTTACATCAGCTCTGCATTCCACCACTATGCCAAGAACATGATCCTCCACACAAGGTACATACTGCACAAAAGAGATAAACAAGAACTTTTATGATCAAATAATGCATTTTTGCACAGCATTGCACAATGCTGTGTAATTAATCAAAGCTGACCAAACAAATTAAGGAGTATAAGTGTATAACCATCCATGTAAAAGCTATGATCAGCGATACAGAACCAAAAAATACATATATATGCAGAAAATCAGTCACATATCGTATAAAAAGCTTAAAATTGACAACAATTAGCTAATAATTCTTCATTGTTCATTGCAATTGGATTTACTTGAAGAAGTTAGAAATATTATTACTCATCAATCATCATAGTCCGAATTACTAGTGTCTTTTATCTCCTATCTTTGAAAGGGACTTAGTTCGGATTTCAATCACAGTCCATAGTATATAAAGAAAGCCTTGCTCTTACCCTTTTATGTGAGCCTTCAACCCAATATTTATTAGGCTTTGTGAATCTCAATTTGCCAGCTTTTGTGACAGATATTACATCACCATCCTGATACACATTCAAACAACATAACTAAAATCAACAAGCAGCAAACTTTCTTAGTAATAACCAGTGCTACTCAATTTCATCCATTTACGATGACAATGTTGTGCCTTGTGAATATCAAAATAATCGTGTGATAGATGACTTGCTCCCTTACAAACTACAAATTAGATTGCAGAGTATAAGGAGAGCTTATGCATAATAAAGACCAAAAGCTGCAAGATATTACAGCAATATGTGTCTTATTCCAATCAAGTACAAATTAACAATTTCAAATTCTCTTCTTTAAACCCAAATTCATCAATAATGCCTGAAAACTCCATCATATACAATCAAATTACAAATACTATGAATATCTTCTAAGTCCAAATAATCAGTAATCAAGCACTAAAGAGATCACATTAACACCCAATCAACCAAATTGAATTGGGTATTTACCCAATCACCCAAATTGCACCCCTCAAACAGAAACAAAAAATGAAACCCTAGAAAAAAATTGAAGCAAACATAAACCAAAAAACCCTAGAAAAAGGAATTGACCTGACGAAGACCACTCCCGAGTTTAATGGTAAGTTCCGCCATTTTTGAGAGATCCAAGACTACATCACCAGGAACCTGAAGAGGACAAAAATGGAGAAGAGAGATTGGAAAAAAAAAATAGAATTGAAAGGTGGACGAAAGTAAAAATAAAAAATAAACTTACAACAGTTTGATTTATGAGGGATTTGGGTATAGTAGATGATTTCTCTTCCATTTTTCAGTGTTCTTCGTTATCTAGACCTGCAACTTCGATTTTTGGCGCGGGAAAAGTTTTGGTCTGAGAGAAGGAGGGAGAGTGGCGAAAGTGGAGAACAGGCTGCCTGTGAATCGTCTAAAGGTTAAAGACAGTGAGAGTAGGCGCCAAATTGGGGTAATTCTTGGCCCTGCACCGTGCTTGTGAATTAAATGTTAAACAAATAAGATTGTGGGGTCCTCATGTGTAGAAAGGTGTAACTTTATACTAAGTACCTGCAAAGCTGTATTTTGTACAAGATACGCGGAGTTTTATTTACCCGTTGGGTGAACAGTGTGGCGTTGAATTAAAAGTTATTAATTGACAACATAAGACTTCATCGAAGGCTTCAACGGAGATGCCCTTAGCCAAGACTCCAGATGAGCAGGAGTGCAAGTCTATGCTGAACATGGACTGTTCAAGGGTGGACCCTCCTCAGGTGGGTATGATTTTTGAAACATGGCAAGAAGCAAACTTGTATTACAATGCTTATGGGAAGCAGGAAGGATTTGGGGTGGTGCTTGCTCAAAGTGCTTATAAGAAATTGGGAGGAGTAAAGGTCAAACGTGCCACAACTTAAAAATGTGACTGTTATGGTAAACCAGATACAAGGAAGAGAGTTGGGGGCAAACGATTGGCTAGGGAGTTAGAAGGGGAACCAGTAGCAACTAAGAAGTCCAAAAAATGTGGTTGTCTAGCAAAGGTATATGCTAGATTGTTGAATAATGGGAAATGGGAGCTAAAGAAAGTGGAGTTGAAGCACACGAACCATAATCCAACCCCTTCTAAAGCCTTGCTAGTTCCAAAGTATGGAATGGCTGAGTTGGAGAGAATGCCTTATGTTAGGCGGAAGCTTCAATTTGGTGATGATGTTGGGATCAGTACTTCAACCATGCATAACATGATGGCTAGCGAGAGGAATAGGCTGGAAAATATTGATTTACTAAGAAGGACTTGCATAATTTGCGGGCGAGGGAAAATAAGTTGAAATTCAAAGATGGTGATGTGAATGCAATGATGAGTTATTTTCAAATGATGCAGAAGAACAACAAGAATTTCTATCACATGCAGCGGTTGGATGACAACGGGGTGCTACAAGATGTATTATGGGTCGATGCTCGTAGTCGAGCTGCTTATGAAGATTTTGGGGACGTTGTGTGTTTCGATACGACATTCTTGTTGAAGATTTTGTTGGTGTTAACCATCACGGGCAGACAACCTTGCTTGGGTTTGCCCTAATATTCTCGGGAAACCACTTAAACTTTCAAGTATGTGTTGTTTAAATTCTTGAATTTAATTAATTTAATTTATTGCAGAGATTGTGTTATTGTATGTAATGGCTGAAGTTGTTTTCTGGTTTGTTATAATGTTGTTTAGGTGGGTATTTTCAACTTGGATTGATGCCATAGGAGGGATCCCTCCAATGGCTATCTTGACTGATCAAGATGCAGCTATGCGTAAAGCATTGAAGGCTACTATGCCACAAACAAGGCATAGATGGTGTCTCTGGCACATCTCTGAGAAATTTGGCGGCAAGTTAGGGAATTGCAAAGGGTATGCTGAATTTAAAGAGGAGCTTAAAAATATTATTTATGACAGTTTAAGTATGGAAGAGTTTGAGTTGAGGTGGAAGTAGTTTATAGCAAACCAAAAGCTTGAGAGTAACATGTGATTGGCTATTTTGTACTCTGGCAGGAATTGTGGATTCCGACTGCGATGAAGCACATGTTTTGGGACAGTTTAAGTATGGAAGAGTTTGAGTTGAGGTGGAAGCAGTTTATAGCAAACCATAAGCTTGAGAGTAACATGTGATTGGCTATTTTGTACTCTGGGCGGGAAATGTGGATTCCGACTGCGATGAAGCACATGTTTTGGGCTGGAATGAAGACAACTCAGCGGTCGGAAAACATTCATAATTTTTTGATGAATTTTTCGATAAGCATACGGGATTGTGTGAATTTGCTGAGAAATATGTAAGAGCTATGGAGCACCTTTTTGACGCAGAGAGGCTGGCAGATGGAAATTCTGCTGTGTATCTTCGTGGCCTGGTTATAGATTTTAAGATAGAAGAGACGTTTAGGAATTATACACAGATGCGAAATTTGTGGAGGTGAAACAGGAATGCAAAAGGATGATGTATTGTAATTGTAGTAGCGTGAAGGAGATTGGAGACGATTGCTATGAGCACCAAATCAAAGACAGAATTTATGTGTACAGTGATATTGATAAGAAGGTAAAACCTATAAACAAGTGGTGATTTTATCGGGTGTTGTACAATGCTAAGAGTGAAGAAGTGGAATGTGAGTGCAAGTTGTTCGAATGCAATGGGATCCTCTGCAGGCATTGCATCAATGCTCTTGAGGTCCAACAAATTGCTGATGTGCCAAAGAAATACATCTTGGATCAATGGTGTAAAGATATTTACCGTAAGCACGGTAGAGTTAAAGTTACATACCATGATCTTTCTAAGACTCGGGAAGTGGTTCGTTATGACAAGATGATGGTAGCATTTGAGCCAATTTCATGTCTTGCCAGTGAGAAAGACGAGACATTGAACATGGTTGTTGCTGGCTTTCAAGGGTTAGAGACCAAGATTAAGCAAGTAGCTAAACCAGCCCTTCCATTGAGTAGTGTTGGGGAGGCCAAGACTCAGAGCACACCACATAGTGTAAACAAGGCAGTGGTTCCCACTGATTTTTTTACGCCTTCCTCTTTGGGTATGAGTGTTATTGGAGGGGTAGACCGGCCCGAATGTGGAGGAGAAGATGCGATTGTGAATCTGTCACAACCAATTGTTGGTGGGATTAAGGATCCGGCTACCAATCGGGGTCCTAGCTATGTGAGAGCTTCTAGGTTTATGGCTACTTTTGAGGAATTGTGCAGGCATGAACATGTTACTTTTCTAAATATGAACACTTTATAGAGTTTAGGAGATCACCCCGTAAGAGGTTCGTGTGTCACTACTTTACCCATTTTACTCTTAGGATTTAAAATATACAAGTATAATTTATTGTGAACATTGTGAGTTTTTTAATGAGTATATTTTTAATTTGTTGACGAATTGACAATTTGGGACTTCTTTCCCTAAGATTTGATCCACCCTTTTAAGGGTTTATTACTTAGGATAAATTTTATCAATGAAAAAGATTTAAGAATCATTTTAGTAAGGAGTACCTTTTATGTTATTGTTTATGAACATTTAATGATATGGTAATGAACATATAGATAAAGAGATGATATAGTGTTGAGATTTTAATGAACTAGTATTGATAAGATAATGAACATGTTCATTCTACTTGCTAAAGAAAACGTTTTTTAAAAATTTTATAATAACATCTAGTAAACAATATTGATTATTGTAGGGATTTTGACATACAAAATATATAACTCGTTTATACATCAAATATGTTAAAAACAATATACTATTTTAACAAGAAATTGCCTATAACTCATTTATCATCAATCTTCTTGTCGCCCTTCATTTTATCTTCAATATATTTCGTTCAAAACACATTAGTTGAGGCATGTATTCGATTTGCAACTTCTTGATTTTATATTCCTGTATAATAACAAAACCAATATATATTATAGTTTATTATTGAAAAAAAATAAGTGTCTAAAATTTAATAATATAAACATAGTAAAATATGGCGTAGAACATTCAATAACATATAAATGAACGTATAGTAGAAGTATGATTACGTACATTTAAATACTTACATTATTTGTCTTCAAGTCACAAATTCATTTTTGTTTTGGGTATTGGACATGCTCCACAAGTCCACAATGAATAACTTTATATAAAGGTTGTCTATACAGTGTTGTGGTGTTGTATATATTAGTACATCTTTTCAAAATAAACTTTTTATTAGGAAGAAATGAACATTATGTTTTCTGAAGATGAACATTTTAATGATTATTAAAATTGACAATCAATATTAAATTTTTAAAATTCATTAAGCTCATTTTTTAATGAATTAATGATATGCATATGAACATTATTCGTTTTATGAATGAGCATTTGCTATTTTTATGAATTAAAATCAAAACGAAAATGAACATTTATCAGAAAATCTTTTTCATGATAAACTTAAAATTACATTTCAATAACCCTACGAGTATTGATCAAATTATCCAGATAAGTAGAACAATTAAAATCTGTTTTTAATTTTTGTGTCCAACAGTTTTGTAATTTAATAACACACCACAAATTAATTTAACACAAAATAGAGTATATCATACATAATTCAACTATAATTATAGAAAACCACAATAATTTGATGGCTAGAATTTTCTGGTGAAATTGTAAAATTAATAAAAAAAAAATAAAATCAATAAGATGCAGAGTGTGTAACTGTGTATACCTTACAATGAAAACAAAATTAGAAAGTCGACGATGATCTAAATTGTTTTAAAACAATCAAATTGGGGGAAAAAATAGGGTAATACAATAGTCAATGAACAATCATATCATTTTTTTTTTTCAAACTTAGACTTACATTCTACAACGATTGGTACCTCAATATCGTCCTTGCATCGGTAATGAAAATTTGGTGAAAAACAAGATGAATGGAGAAAATTTCTGGACAGAGTAAACAAGATTAGAAAATTTGTATTTATCCCTACCCTAGGGTGTAGGGATAGATAATTATGTCTATGTTCGTCCATTTATATTAGCGGGTCGAGCCTAGCTCGTCCAATTTTTTTCAAAATTGTTGTCCAAACCCGTTTGTCTGCGGCCTGGGTAGGGCGGGCTTGGCAGGCCATCCTGTCCGTGAACATCTTAGAGAGAGTACTTGTAATTTTTTGTTTTTTTTATCTTATAGACGATTTAGCCTTTTAAGCATTTTTTTTTTTTTTTTTGAAACATCTTTTTATGCATTTATATATTAACAAAACAAGGTGAATCAGGATAAAAAAAAAAGTTGCTATAGCAGAGGAGGGGGGCTATTGAACCATTTTTCATGGCCACATTGTTGATATGTAAAATGTAATTATTGGTGTTAAGTTTGGAGCTTAATATGATTATTTGCATCATGTGTTGACTTTTTTCCTTTACAATGAATATACAGTTATGTTGCCGGGGGATCAAACTCATCAAACACTCAAGCACAAGTGTCATCGATACATCCCCTCAATACCAAGGGTCATGTCAATTCTTGGACTATCATTTGATTTTATTCTATTAGTTCTCCATAAAAAATGGTAAATTAAAAACACGGAAAAAGTAAGCGACGATTAATTCAAGACACAAGTTGTAGAATGAATTTTTGTTTCTTAACAGTACAAAAAATGCATTCAAAATTTGACTAGCAGATTTATCAGTATCAGTATCAGTAACAGTGTACCCAAGGTACAAGGAGAATACGCTCTTAATCATAAAACCAAGAACACATGGTCAAAAGAGTATGTTACTCCGCATAATTCGGCTCTCAAGAGCCAGAAAATTTCAAAAATGGAGGGAAAATTTGCTGAAAAAGGTATATATGGGCATAAAATGGTGGGAACTACTGATTTATCAGCTGTTATTGGATACCCCATTTCACAGTAAAATTAGGCATCATTTCAAAATCAAATGTACAAAAAAAAAACATATAACAATTGCTTTGGCGTGCAACAAGGCTTACAGAATTTTAAGAATATGATGTTTGGACAAAATAAAAGATTATGCATTAAGTGAAGGCAACTGTCTGACAGCACTAATTTGTCCAACAGCCAATATAATGGTTAACAGACCAGCAGTAGGCCCTAATGACAATGAAACTCTTACTACCATCTCATGCAAGATAGCGTACTTGTTTGTCTAAGGAATGAGTAAGAACAAGAACCTCGAGTAGGTCGAGCCTGAGTTACGAATCCAAACAAGAATACATTCTTTCAAGATACGATGATATTTAAGCTGACTATTTGAGCTGACTCGGATGGGCTCATGTGATTCTTGAGCCAAGCTCGAGCTCAATTCAGGCACAATCAAGCCGAAAGCTTGACCAAGTTGAACTCGAGGTGCTTGTGAGCCACGAGCAATCAAGAATCATTATCACCCCAGACATACCTATCAATTCTATCTCACAACCACCATATCATAAATGCAGCTGTATTTAACTCCTCATACCAAATATCAGAATTGTTCTGTTTCTTTTCTCTAGAAAACAAAATATATAAAAATCCCTATACAAATAGAACAAAACTCAACTAGCAAGACAGCTAGTAGTCAGATAAGCCCGCTACCATAAACCAGCTCCTACAACAGTAACATGGTTGCAGTTCTAGAAGCATGCTCAAAGAGCAGGAAAGTATTCACATTAATCCAAATCGTTACAATATGACATGAAGAATTCAAGAACATATACATACAAATTGCTTGTGTATCACTTCTTTAATTAAGCAAGAAAAGATTCATAGGTACAAAAGGACTGCCATTTATACAAAGTATGATATCAGAATCTAATAGAGAAGATCAACAGCTTTAGACAAATAAGAATGATATTAAGAATCAATACCACAACAAGATTAAGCATTTTATTTTTAAAACCCTCCAAAATAAGAATCTAATCATTTCAATACCACCTTTTTCTTTACTCTTTTACTTTCTTATAAATAAATCCTATACTTCTTCATACCTTAATACCATTATCATTAAATTGTTGAGGGTTTGCATCAAGAAGATTTTCCAGAGATCTAGCTTTTCGGTTGCGAACTTTGCCAGCTTCTTTTAGCAGTTCAGCCAACCTCCTCTTTTCATCATCCACATCAGGATTTGCTGTTCCCAACTTTTCCTCTCTCATTCCAACTACATATTCTAATATTTCTATGGCCTCATCCAACCTGTAACACATTCAAAGAAGAAATTTGGCAATCAACTATGAGATTTTCTATAGGGTACCCATGAGCATACAATAACAATAATCAATAAAGATCAAATACTATATTGACGGAAATGTAACTATAAAATATTAAACATAGGAAAAGAATCTTTCCACAACTATAGTACGTAGTATCTTAGAATTAAAATCTCATCTAGTCCAATGATTAAATCATATATTACCGACTGTCTCTTTAATTCTAGTGGCAAAGCCACCAGAAATTAAAAATTATATCTATAACTTAAATACACCTATTACTAACACTATCTGCTGAAAAAAAAAGATTTGAAGTAAATTTCAGAGGCAATGTGCACATGACAAGGGCATAGAATTCACAAGGCAAAAATAAGAAACACAGGTGGAAAGCATATCACACCTGCCAATTGCATCATAAGTCCCTGCAAGATTACTGTATACACCAAGAGTATCGGGATGATATGGACCATATTCTTGCTCCAGAATACTCCTAGCTTCTTCAAATAATTCTGCTGCCTCATTGATGGCATAACATTGGACACAAGTGAGCCCCATTTGATTAAGAGCTATTCCGAAAAAGGCAGACTTCTTCTCTCCACTGGCACGGAGCTTAGTAACAGCACTCTTGAAAGAATTGTAAGATTCAGTATATTTCCCAAGCATGTAGTACATGACTCCCATCTGTGCTTCAATCCCTGCAACTGTACTCTGTTGTCCAGGGGAATCACCATATATTTTCAGAGCCTTTTGGAGCAGCTTAATAGCCTGATCAAGCTCATTCATTGACTCATAAATGGCAGAAACGTCAGTGAACCCACTTGCAATTTCCTCCTGAGGGATTCCAGGAATAGGTTTGCTATAGATGCGTAAAGCATTTTCACAATATGACTTGGACTCTCTAAGCTTACCAGTCTTATTATACAAATCAGCAAGGCGAACAAATACTGAAGCGATTGAAGGATGGTTCTCTCCTTTAGTTGCCTTGAAACTTGTCAAGGCTTTCTCATAGGCAAAAATTGCTTCATCATATCGAGAGAGAGACAAGTATGTATCTCCAATGCTGCAATCAACAGACGCCACCTCTTTTTCTTGACCGTTGGCTACCATTGCCATACTAGCTAATACTAAGTGCTCCAGAGCTTTTTCATGGTCACCCTTTGTTTCACAGATTAGACCCATAAGCCTTCTATCTGCCGCCTCTTCAAGGGAAGCTGGTGAACCACTCTCTCTATGAATATCAAGTGCCATCTGACAAAGCTTCTCAGCCTCATCAAATTGCATTGCTTGAACATGGGCTTCGGCCAAATACCTGCATGTTTCACCAACTCGAGGGTCATTTTCACCAAGGACTTGTCTTTGAATTTCCAGCCCTTTAGTATAGCATGATATTGAATTCTCAAGTTGTCCAAGCATTGCGTAAGTGTCCCCAAGTTGCATATTCCCCGCAAATTTAGCAAGTGCATGATTGCCACCATCCTCAATAACTGGTATCTCAATGGATCGCTGAAGAACTGGAACTGCCTCGTTATACTGACCAAGGCTACAATTTACTGCTGCTACAACATGTAAAGACATGACCAGGTCTAAACTGGGTTTCCCATTGGCACATATTTCAAATGATTTTGAGGCTCGAAGTGCAAAATCAAGAGCCTTGTGGAGATTATCTCCTGACGAGATCAAATCCCTAGCTTGCTTTAGCAAAAAGGGTCCAAGATCTGGGTTATCCAAGGCAGAATCAGATCCTGCAAGTGGGAAATTCCTCTGCTTCTTAGGAGGGGTTGCCTTTTTCTTCACTATTTTGCCATTCTGTTTCTCAGTTTTCTTCTCTGGACTAGGTTTTGTACATTCCTCAGGTTCTAGCTGCAAAACGGAAGCCTTCTTAGAATTCCCTGAAGATGCAGATTTTGCACTCGAAGATCGAGTCTTTTCCATCAAACCCGAATACTCACCACCAGAACCATTTTCTCCCTTATCAGACTCACCATGAATTTCCTCCTCCGCTACTTCCTCTTCCATGATCTCCACTTCCCTCATTCCTCCACCCACAAGATGTCTCAACTCGGAATCAATTCGAGACTCGTTATCATCCTCGGTCATGAAACTACGCCTCGAAGGCGACTGATCTGAACTCTGCATATCACACACATTATCATAAAGTTGCTCAATTGAGGTGTCAACACCCCCCTCCAATTGACCTTCTTCCTCCTCAACACTCCTAGGACTTTGAGGGCTCAATGTACTCTTTGGAGACCTCATGTTCTGAACAGAAGTTTCCTTACTGGGTGTCACATTGGCTTCTAACCCATCTTCATTTAATCCCTCCACAACAACCCCAGGCATCTTTTCACCTCAAAACTTAAATTTTTAACGGCAAACTTTCTTAAATTGGAAAGTTATTCAATCTGCAATTTCCATAAAAATCAAAATTTACCCAACAGAAAACACATGAACTACTTCCAGTAACAATCAATTTCATGCCAAAAATGTAAATTCACATCACAAACGGATCCAAGAAAAAAATTTGGTTCAGACATTAACACAAACACCTTATATGCTAAGTTACTAACAAGTAAAATCGTACTACCACCTTCAAAAAAAAGAAATACCCAGATCTATAATTGACCCAGAAACGCAAATTCTTGTATTAGAAGGTCTAACAGTCGAAAATCAAGTATAATCAAACAAACATACAAATAAAAAAAATGCGTCTAACATACCTTATAAATCGACCATTGGGGAGAATGTGAACACGAATATGAGTGGAAAATGAAGCGTTTTTTAGGGAAGAATAGTTTTTAAAGAAAAAGGTGAGAGAAAGGAGACAATTATATAGTAGGGAGGAGAGAGAAACAGAGACAAGAAGAAGAAATGGAAAATACAGAAGGAAAAAAAAAAAAAAAACTGTAATTTTCATAGAATAACGGAAGAAGACAGAAGGAGAGGATATGAAGAAATAGAGAAGGGTAAAATGGGAAAAAAGGAAGAAGAGAAGGTGGAATGTCAGAGGAGAGAGAAGTGGACTTCTCCCCTAACCCCACTCACTCGTCGAATAATCGGCTAATCGTCTATCTATCTCTCCCTGTCTTTGCAACCGCCGCTACGTATGCTGTTTTTTTCTGCATTTTTCTTCAATTTATTGCCGTTTTTTCGGGTATTAATTTCCCGAACCTCACTTGGTAAGAATCTTAACTTAAAACTTAAAGACTACGGAGTAAAAGTTTAAATCTTACCAAAAACAGGGTAACTGCATAAGTGGAAAGGGGGTATCTGAGCATTCAAAATAAAAGAAAGGGGGTATTTGGCCCCTTACCTCTCCCTCCTACTTTCGAGTATGTGCTTGTAAATATTGAACCAAAAATAAAATGTGAGGTTTGGGGTTAGGTTAAGGACCTTTTTTCTTAATGTACACTTGACTATGTGAGAATTTATTATAAATTTATCTTGAATGTCAAATCATTTTAATCACTTGATTTTTAATTTACTAATATAAATTTATTTTACTTTAATATATATGTTTATCAAACTTAGATAGCTCTTTATTAGTCTATACTACCAAAACTATTTTTTTATATTTTTGTTTAGTCTTAAATCAATTGGCACCCTAGGTGCATGATTAGATTTTAGATCTACCAAACATGCATGTTATTAGTTTTATTTAAAAATAAAAATACAACCTCAAATCCTTCCAAAAAAAACAAAAAAATCAAAACACACTTTATAGAGCTACGGTCAAAAATATCATTTTCTAATAACGGGGTGTTATATTATGGTAAGACGAAAATAATACCACTTAATTAGAGTATAATAAATCAAATACGAAGTAATATTGTAAGAAAAATAAAATATTATTAGAAAACTTTTCTCACATCAAGAAGACCCTTAAACGATTGGAATGGTAAATAATAGTCTACTTCATTACCCGAAATTACCAGGGAAGACTTGATCAACTACTACAAGGCTCTTTCAGTCAATCTGTAATGGTACAATAGTCATAAAGACCGAGGTGGCAAGAGTTGCAACTGACAAAGTAGTAGATATTGTTTGAAGTTGATTAGTATTAGGTGAACATATATAATTTGGAGCGGATATATATGCACTATTATACTCAAAAATGCGGTTTATAATATCTGTACCAATGCAATAATATTAGTTCAACACATGTAATATGGCTAACATCATACGGAGTATGCATCTAATATTCTTGTATAGATCTTTAAATCGTACGTCTCTATTACTCTATTCTACTTCAATTCATATAATATACGTACTTGTATGTTACAATCATGTTTCATTAGATTGCTTAAGATAGATAGAAAGAACGAGTCATTATAATACATATAATACTACATATATAGATAGTACTACATATGTATCTAACATCATTAGTTAATAATTAATCAACCCTTTTAGTGCTCCACTTTAGTACCCCCTTGATAATAATGGTTTACCTAAAGGAGATGATAATTCAGTTTATTTCTATCTTTGGTGAATAATATGATTTGAGTATTATGGATCTTATAACTTTATTTGAGTTCACACTGAGGGTCGCACTCAAAGAAAGCTCACTTTCATCATCCTTAATCTTGAATTCTAAGCCATTGATGTCAAAACTCATAGAGATCATAAGTTTTACCATACTATCAAAATTAAACCTGTGAAATGATAAATACGAGGGGCCATGCATATCTATCCATTATTCTCTCCATCAAACAAAAATAACCATTGTCTATAATGTAAGGAAAAGTATTGAGTAAGACGGACTTATTATACATTTGGCGAGAGATAAGTTTCCAACAATTTTAACTAGCGGTTTTATTGTCATTAATACTCATGCAACCTGATTAGCCGTACCCCTACAATTTTTCTATATCTTTAGTATTCCGTATTCGTAATGTTTATAATCCTTTATTTTCATGTTCATACACTTGTATAAAATTTGTTCTCCCTTTTCCCGTCAAATTTCAATCTAGTTTGGAACCTTCAACTTTAAAATCTAAAACCTTGATATTAAATTTCTAAATTGAAACTTCCATTTATATGGAGGAAAACATACACAACCACTAAATTAGAGTGTATGTAACCATAGTGTTAAGGTCTATAGGCAATAGGCATCTATATGCTTAAGAGAATTATGTTGGTGCATTATTAGATCGAGTTACTTGGAATTCACAAACTTCTTGCGATCAATCTTTTCTCGGAGTTAATAACATGTTTAATATGTTTTTCATGATACTACATTTGAAATGTCATTCTAGCTAGAAAATAAATGCATACACTATGAATGAACGTACTTTTTTCACGATTGTATTATATACGTTTGGTAATGTCATGAATATGGGATGCATGCATGCATTCATTGAAAGTTGAAACGTTATTTTTGCCTATGAAGCAATTTGTAATTTTATGTATGCACAAATCACACGTTATGTATGCTAGGTCCTTTAACTCCTAAATATGCTTGTAGCTTGTTTGATGACTTAATTTATTGATGAGGAGTGCATGTTTTTCTATATTATTGCGTTTCACATATTTATGTATGTATCTAGTCTTAATTAGAGGTGTATATGATGCGATTTGAGTTTGAGTTTGGGTAGCTCAACTCGACTCACTAACAACATTTGAGTCAAGATTGAGTTGACTTGAGAGGTCGATCTCGAGTAGCTAGCTAGCTTGCAAATTGTATCTCCCAGACTCCCCTAGTATGCAATAGCACCCCTAGATCGAATAAATAATATGTTGGAAGAAAGTTTTCCTATACTAAATAATATGTTGGATTAAAAAAAAAAAAATAAATCCTTTAGTATGAAGTGTTTATGCCATTTGATATATGCATACTAAGCTAATTTACAAGTTCTTTTATATCACGGAGGATTAAATAAACTTGAAGGTTGGTCTTTGAAAACTGAATGATATTCTTAAATTCTTGTTGTAAATTGAGGCTTACTCTTTACATACATTATCTAAGGATAACATCAAAAATAAAAGTGATAAATATACTAAAGTGAAAATTATAATTAGTGCATGTACGTGAGTATGTGACCTACAAAAGGTTAATTAGATGCTTCTATAATTTATACTCCAATTGAGAAAATAATTTTGTTTTCCAATAAAGATATAGAAAAAGAGTGAATAAAAAAGGGTTGAGACAGCTGTTAAACCCTGATTGAAGCAAGCTACAATAATCATGATTATACAAGTGTTGAGTCCCTTAGGTTTTGATTGATAGTTTTGAATGATGACAAACAGCTAAGGGAAACAGGTCTTTGAAAGTGTTCAATACAGTTGGGGGAACCAACTAAAATAGAACACTGTTTTCCTAGATAAGTTATTGATTATATGAGTTATCTATTGAACTAACTTATCTATATACAGGAAACAGTTAGATGATAAATGTGCTATGTACTGGTGGGGAACCAGTATGAACCGTTTCCTTGACTGCTATGCGGAAAAGCAGTCACATACTCTTTATTGTGCATTAACCATGTTACATGTGCAGTAGTTGAGTTGATTCCAAGACTTGGAGCATAGAAGCCTTTCGAAGATATTTCGAAGAAAGATTGTTTGCTCATAATAGAAGTATTCAAGGAAGATTCAAGTCTTGAAGATTACATGAAGAAAAGACGATTTATGCTTTAATATGTTATCTAGGTTTTCATGTAATATGCTCCGTAGTATGCTTGCATGTTTGGGTTATATAAGTGCTTAAAAGTATATTGAAGTATGATATGAAATCTGGTACAAAGTTGGAACAGGTTTCATAACATGTTTCAATTCAGGGAACCAGGTCGGAGAACCAGGTTCACTGTACGAAATATTCGAGCTGCCGTTTTGGAAAAAGATTTTACAAAAAGATTTTTTCGAAAAGATTATTTTGAAAATATTTTGTGCAGCTGGAAATAAGATGAAATATTCTTGGTTACCTAAAAACTAGGAGTATTTATCTTAATTGATTCTATCTTTGTGATTAAATCAAATAAGATAAATACTTTCCTAAAATTACAATATATCTTATTCTCTAAGATTGTGTGATTTAAGGAAACTAGGTTTTAGGAATCTAAGCTTATATAAACTCATCTTATTTCACATATTTCGTGTGCCTCTCCAGAAATTAAAAAGAGCAATTATTTGAGAGCATATACTTAAGCACTAATCCCATTCATCAAGTCATATACAAGAGCATTCTAGTACAAAAACATTTTCTCTTAATTAGCTTCGTAGAAGTGAGATCAAAGGAGAGTTCTTGATTCTTGTGTTGAGTCTTTAACAAAGGGGTTAAAGGCTGGGTGAGTGTTTGTGAGTTCAAACACATTGGGCTTACGAGTGTAAGTCGAGAGCACACTCGGAGTAGAGTGTGGGGTAGACTGGTTCCCGGAGTAGGGAAACAGTAGAGTGTTCTTTGTCTTTGTTTTTCGGAGTAGATTAATAAAGGACTTAGGATAGGAGGACGTAGGCCTGAGTTGGCTGAACCTCGTTAAATTTGTTGTGTTCTTTATTGCTTTGTTTTATTCCGCTGCATAAGGGAACCAGCACAACTGGTTCCTTACACATAATCCGAAAAGAAGCAAAAATCGCTAACGATTACTTAACACTCAATTCACCCCCCCTCTTGAGTGCCCATTGAACCTTCAACAAGTATATAAATCCCAAAGATTGGTGCATGCGTTAGTGCGCTACGCTCTATTTTAAAGAGATCAATTTATACGGTTTCCTACATGCAATGATATATTTAATCATGTAAAATTATTTAATTAGCTCGTGATGTTAAAGAATTTACATTGGCATCAATTGACTACTCGTGGTCAATTGAATTTTTATTATTATTTTAATTTTAAATTGGTAAGAAGAAGGGGGCTTATTTGAGGGGGGAGATAAATGAAATCCCTCAAATGAGTCCCATGAGATTTGATCTCTGAACCTCAGGGATACGAGATGAGGAGCGATGTCACTACTCAATTGAATTGATGTCATGACATTAAACGAATTTGGTATCCTACGTACATTTCTTTGTATATGAATATGACAAAATAATTAAATAAATGGTCCATTGATAGATAGCTACTTCAATTCGTAGGAGTTTCTAAATTAAATAAATGGTCTATTGATTCCTACTTCAATTTATATGTACGTAGTTGTTTCTTATCAATTTAGTAATCGTTCAAGAGAAGATATAATTTGGATCCGAACTCATCACGTGAGATATATTAATATTTATGAAGTATAAGTTATTAGACATTTTATGTAAGTTTTTGAACATTTCATATAAATTTTTG